TCGCTCACAAAATGCTGTAAATCGAATCGCGCATACAAGAAGAAGCGAGAGAGTGATTTGTTAATACGATAAATTGCACCACAGCAACATCAGACATAAAGAAAGGATACCGCCGGAGGAGAAAAGAAGAGAGGATTGAGATTCAGCCAACGTGTACCGGTACAGATACAAGCGAGGCAATCGCCTTTTGATTTCGCCCTGAGTTATGAATCATGCTGGCGATACTTTATAGTATGCATTGAACTATCTTGTAACAGAGATTTTACTGTTAATTCACGCGCGATTGGCGCGATTGTGAATGGCGAACGCGCGAGGGAAAAGAAAAACGTTGTGTGGCTATTGCGGCATAATGACTTCATTGCCTTAAAGGTGAAGCCAATTGAAGCCATTCACTTCGACGCAAGTTCCGATCATGCGAGCTTCTAAAGGAGAGCACTAGTTAATATGAATTTTTGCTCTTCTCCTATGTTCGAACAGCAAAGTTCAGAGAGGCTAACTAACAGTTTCTCTCTCGATTAAACACTACTTCGAAACTTCGATATTCTCTCTATTATTCGACGATAGTTTAAGAGCATAATTAGTCGGTCCGAAGCTTCTGACGTAGTTATCTCACGGAATTTGAGTCAGCCTAATTTGTGGAAACGTGCGAAAACAGCGATTTAACCGGATCTAATATATTAATTACTAATATATAATATTCAACAGCTGCGTATTTACTATATTGATTCAACTCCCAACAAATTTCCATTACATCTATGTATGTTTAATTAGATATCAAAGCGTCTTTTGTGCATGCATATGTAACGCACTGAACGAAGGACTGCTTTACAACATTACATGAGACAACGTCGCTCGTTTAAACGCGCGCTCGTGGTGGACGAGATTGCGGCGAGTCCGTGCCGTAAACTTCGGTTAATTAAGCGGCGGATTTAATTCGGGGTGCGAGAAGCGCGCGCGCGCGCCCCGCGGCCGGAGGCCAATTTTCCGCGAATCGTCATTTATCGGGCCCGGCCTGCAAGGGTTATGCAAATTACGCCGCTGGCATAATTCAGCACCGCCGCCGGCAACCGCTCGCCGCTCGCGCGGATTAAAGCCGGGCGTTCCCATGCAAATGCCTCGCCTAGATGGCTATATGGCGTCGTTTTGGCTCGAGAAAAGACACGCGGTGACACGAGCAAATCAAGACATTGATGCTCGCTTACCGCCGCGAAGGGGATGGAATTACGGGCTGAACAAATTCGCGGGACTTGAAATATATCCCCCGTTATACGGTACACTCCGCGGTACAACTGTTGCTGTTTCCACTGTGATAAGGCAATTTGTAGTACAAGTAAGAGATCATTCTGATTAACTCTGACAAATTATATCACATATTTTTTTTTTTCACATGATCTTATCGAAATGTCCACAATTTAAGTAACAAAATGAAAATATAGTTGAGCAAAGATGAGAAAATTATGCAGATTATACAGTACAAATTTTTACATGTCCATTACTTAACAAAAGAATTCTCTGAAAAAAAAGAAAAGAAATATGAACTCAAATTATCAAAAAAATATTTGTTACACATGAGCGATATTCAAATTACTTTTTTTATACATTGCGGTATTCTTGATAACAATTTCAGCGCGGACTGTACATGCCGTCGTCCACATATAGGGAATACGCGCGAAATTTACTGCCTTTTAGCCACGGATGTCGTGGAATTCCACGACGAAATTGTTTCGGAACTATGTGGCTGGGTTTTTGTTACGGTAACGCTGCAAAAATCCTGGCGAAACGACAGTGAAAAAATGCTCTTCTTCTTTACGCTTACTGTTTTGGCGGTTTTCGCTCCGGGAAATTTTTTCGCTCGTCGCAAAACTTTCTCGTCGCGGCTAGTACACGCGTGCGCGCAAGAGCGGTTTTTCGAATAATTTTAATGCCAGGAAGCTGCTGTGCTAACGAGTTAACTTGATGAATGGCAATATTTCCCTCCCGTTATTACATTGCTATTTTATCGCAACACACGTTGCTGTTCGTTCTGGCATCTGAATTTTCAACACCGCGTCATGCGTTTAATTATACCAACATATTTATCACATATTTATCATATATTTTCATAACAATATAAACACATACCTGTTATATTTTAAGCTCAAATAAAAACTGATCCTTAAATATGTTTCTGTAGAATAAAAAAAAAAAAAAAAGAAGTAACACGTGTCTACAGTAAAGATGACATTTAGCGATGTCACACACACGCACACGTGTAGACGATGTTTAATTTAGCGTGTAAAATATTTTCGCTTCGCTTGGACGACGCGCGCGAGCGCACGAAAGGAATTTAAGGACGAGTAAAAGACTGGCTAATTTATTCGACACGCGCGATTCTTTGTCGCATCGGTGGCTGTCCGTAATTTCAGTTTTCGTCATTTACGATTGGATTCCTCGAGCACACACACACGAGAGAGTCTCGGGAGAGTCCTCGATAAGATCTCATACTGCCTCCGCGCACATCCTTCACGATCTTTCTTTCGTTAGCGCACGCGGTAACCTTCTCTTCGTACGCGCGAGAGACGGTCGTATATACTCTTCTCTTATCCTCCGGGATCCTCCTTCATTTCCTTTCGACGAAAAGTAATTATTTGAAAGACGATATACCGCCGGGTTTCGCGTTACACGCACACTTGACTGTCGCTTACGCCGACTGCGAGATGCGCGCAGCATGACTCGAAGAAAACTTACGCGCCGCGTCTTTTTTACAGCCATGTTTTATTACGCGTAAGTCCCTTCTCTCGGACAGTCCGCGTGCGCATTTCACGTGGGTTTTAATGAGGCCGCGCCGCAATAAATACACCGACGCCTCATTAATCGCTACCGTCACTCACGTACCGAAACCCTATTACGTTCGCTTGAGAAAAGATACATCCTGCTCCCGTCCGCTTCGAATTTAATATCAAGATTTACGATCCGATACGCGAGTTATTGATGCGTTGACATTTTTGTGGGGTAAAAATCAATCCCAAAACTGATCGTACAATCCGCGACTGAAAAGACCCCTGGACTGGGTGATGCCGTATTTGGTGTCCCCGTAAGGCCTGCGGTGTATACAAATTAATGACTCCGCCACCATACGAAGCCGATTCCACGTCATTCGATCGCGATATGTCTGGCCGATTCATAAACCACCCTCGAACGCGGTGCCCTCGTGCGCGACGTGGGTGTTTTGTACCCACGGGTAAGCGGGTGTGTATACGGGAGGGATGAGAACGGGGGGACGGGGGAGTTGCGTTCTCCGTGTGTGCGTGACTCCGCGGCGCGTTAACGGAAACGGGCAAAGCGCCGCGCGTACAATCTGATTGGCCGATCCTCCTCGTAATTGCCTGTAGATCCCAATCGCGATTAGTCGGGAAATTAATACGATCCTGGGTGTGCGATTTATGTGACCCACCCGTGGATTACGCACGCACCGTGTCGGTAACTCGTGCGTAACCGCAACGTCGTGCAAACGCTTTAAAGATCTGTCTGGCGGCGCAAACCGCGCTCTTTGCGAACACTGACTTTACGCGCGCTTATCAACGATCGTCAACGATCACGAGTCTCGAAACGAGATATCACGCTGTTTCTGAGATTATAGTCGTTTGTCCTAATAAAGAAAGATGTAAAATAACGTTAGTTAATTCCTTTTATTTGATAAAAATTAACATAGCGTACCTGTGCGGAAGATAACTTTTTTCCCATTTGCTAAGAGATTTCGTATCTAGATCGCCGTGAAATAAATGAGAGACATTTTCGTGTCACCAAGTACGGAATCGTCACTAATCCCACATTTATCATGATCTCAACGAGTGATTTTCGACAGAAAGAAGCGAAAGATAGACATCGGAAGAGGAGTAATGAAAAAAAGCGAGAACTCACGAGAGGGAAAAAGAGAGGTGGTATCGTGGTTAGCGAATCGCATAGCGTTAAAGGGTGGCCATCCCCGGAGCGGACTCGGGTCAACAGGCATTGTCCGGCGGAATTACCACCAGCGGGCCCCTGTGATTAAATGCTACAACCCCCTCTGCCTCGCGTCCTTTCAGAAGGACTCAGAGGATAGAGAGACAGGTAGATGGACAGAGAGAAGAAGAGAATGAGAGACGTAAGGACGTGCAGCGGGGTGAGAGAGAAAGCAAACTGTTCGGAATGGTAAAGGGAAACCAGAGGCGATAGAGGAAGCAGAGGGATACGCGTACATACCTATATGAGGGCTGCTAGCTCTGCCATCCGTACTTGCATACCTATACCTTACCGAACCCCTCGACCCTTACCCTGTACGGAGAGACGAGATAATGCCCATTGTTTCGAGCATCCTACGCATCCTTCGTCCAGGACGCGAAACCTAGGAGCCTTCCCCGAATGCTTGCACGACGATACGATACCAAATGGCACCTAAATACCCGACTAAATACGGCCACAACTGAATCCTCCGGCGGGCTTCCGCCTCGTCCGATCTCTCGGCTTCGTCGGTTACCTGACGACGATCGGCATTCAGGTGCAAATTGGGCGCATGTGGCCGTGAATGTCATCCGTGATTTCGTACCTTCTTCCCAACTGCGCTCCGTTCTGTTGCTCGTTAAGGTGCATCTCATTAGGTGGAATTCGCACCAATTATCGTACGCGATTGCTCGAAGGTAACGAGTATACGGAGAATTATAATTGATATCATTGCTACTAATAATATTAAAAAAAAAAAAAAAAAAAACAATTATGACTAAAATTTGTGTGGAAAATAAAGTTTTTGTCTCTCACTTTAGCAAAGTAAATATTTAATTAAAATATTCGATTGATTATTTTATGAGCACATAATAATATATTCATGTCATATTTTATATTTATTTTAGTAATTTAACGTTTTTGAAAAAGTAAAATTTTTTAAGTATTTACGTATTTTTAATTCGTAATATTTATGTGAGGAAGAAAAGGAGATGTAATAATAAAGATACAGGAAAACAATTTGAGTGTTTGTTGTAAACGACTTTTATGTACAAATATGACCAATGTTTATACAACATAGTTCTACGTCCATTTTGTTAATATAATGACTACTCTATGTACAAAACTACTTTTTTTGTATCTCGCGTTACAAAGTTGCGTTTCGTTTGTTACGGCAGTGTAAGTTTTTCGTGATCTTTCAGATCCATGGCCCCAGACGACTCTCGAGTACATTGGCCGCGTCGACGCGACCCATCAGTCTTAAATGGTTCAGTAAATCAGCTAGAGCCGTGGCTTCACGGTGTCTGGCTTCCCATAAGTCCAAAATATGTTCCGTTGGGCTCGCCTTCGTCGCGAAATAGTCGACATATCTTTAAAAATATCGCACCGGTTCAAATTTATTCCGTAAATCCGTAAGAGGAAGATACGTTGCGGAGGATTAGCTTTAAAACTTACCGATCCACTTGCAGTCTCTGAGCTAACATTCGCCAGTCATTTCCGCGAGCGCTCGGCGGATCCAGACATTGGCACAATTGTTTTCTAAGCGTCTTAGAAAATCTGCAATAATCGTGATAAACGTTTTTTGTGATAAAGTTTCATCGATTTTATTTGGTTTCTTTACTTGCTATATTTTTTTTAATTAAATGTAAATCTATGGTTTTTAATATGTACAAAAATTATTATTAAATTGTACATGTCACGCAAAATATTTTAACTTCAATTTTTACAATAAAGATAAGAAGTACCTGAAGGGTCTCGGTATTACGGATTCTGTGGATCTCGCTGAATTTTTTCCTCGTAAAACGACCGAGGATTCCATCTTGTTGTTATTTCTCTTTGCACTCAGATTTCTCTTCGAAAGATCGAGATCGATTCTGAGAAGCAAGCCTTGGTCCTCAAATCCTCGCTGATAAGCCCGAAATTCGAATCCGAGCTTGAAATCGCCCATCATCTTCTCTATTCTAAATAAGCGCCGAACGCTAACTCTCGAAGATGCCCAAATACGTCGATAAAGTACTTCCTGTCGCTCGGCAAAACCGCTTTCTCTATCTTCGAGATCGATGCGAAGCGATGTGCCGCTCGCGCGAAATCCGAGAGTTCCGTGGTCAATGTGAGTGCTACCTAAACGACGTTCCTGTAAAACATCACATGCAACTCGCGAAATAAACGAAAAAAATGTCAAAGATATATGATAATTAAATGTAAAATATATATTTCAAACTTTTTCTCTCACCTGTTCGCTAATAAGCTTGAACGACGCCTTGGTGTCCTCCAACACGTGACACCTGATGTGATCACGTTCTCGAGACACGAAAATCGCCACACAGATACGCTTGACAGCCAAACCGGGCGCGACAACCGAATTCTCTCCAGCCACCGCGTAAACGCTGGGCGTTTCCGTGACGAGGAACACGCCCGCATGATCGAGTTGCGCAAATGGTTGACCGGGCAGATTGGTCGGATCGCCGCCGAGCATCAGCACTTTGCGCCAAGCTGTCGCGGATGGCGAACCGTTCGAGCTTGCCGACGAGCTCATGGAATTGTTTGAACGAGTCTCCAGATCGATCTCCGTAGACCACAGACTCAGTTCCCAGTTTCCGGTTCTCAGCTCGGCGCAGTGTTCAAACTGAAGAATCACCGGCTTCACAAGATCGATGCCCGCGGGACCGCAAGCCACCACGGCGGACAACAAGGTGAGCCCAGGCGGAAGATTCGGTCGGAAGGAATTTTCTCCGAGAACGGCGAGATGCAGACTGTGCCGACGACCGCGCGCAATTGCACCTTCCGGCACGGACATCGAGACGCCCACCTCCGGTACGATCAGGAGAGCTCCTTGCTCGTCGATTGCGGCTCTCACGATGAAGCCGCTACCGTCGTCCGTTGCGGATCGTTCGTTCTCGTCCGGTCTTTCGTCGTCGTCGTGATCGTCGTCTTCCTCGTTGTTGCTTTCCGGATTTGCTTGATACGTGGAACCTGAGATTGTATATATAATTCACGACAAATAAAGAGAAAATTTTATTTGTAAATACAAAAGCACAACAAATTTAACGACTAGAATTGATAAAATGTTTTTTTTTTCGCAAAAGAAAAAACGTGGTACACTTCAATTTCGATTAAGAAATCCAAGATATTTGTCTTCGGATTGTTCGAGAGAAAAGACGATTTACCAAAACCGATTACGCAAAGAGCTCTCTTGTTCTTGAATTTATGGGAATTTCTTACGAGAAGACCGTCCCTCCTCATTATCCGACATGCCGCGTCCTCGCTGCGAGTTCTTGCAAGAAGACCTGGTTACGGAGGAGCTCGGCGATGGTCTCGTTGTCGACGGTAATGACAATTGCGGAACGTCATAATGATGCTCGGAACAGGATCTGCACATTGCGACAGCGCATCGCGACATTATGTAAATGTAACCGGATGCTGACTCGTGCCGCCGTTATTTCTCTCGTTATTTCGAATTGTTGCGTTGTTATACTACCTGGGTAATCTGGTGGCGTTCGATTCGTCGATCACATGCTCGAGACGTCTGTCGCTAGCCAGAACGGGACGATCGTTCTTAGAAACGACCGATTTCGCGAGATCGCCCGGACGATGAAAATCCAATCTCGCGACGCCGTACAACGCCTCCATTCTCTCTTTTCGACGCATCAAGCGAACGAAGAAAATTGTCGTCACGGCCAGAATTACCGCGGCCAAGCTTAAAGTGATCCACAACGCAAGGATATTTCTGTGATCGACCGCTCTGGTCGCTATAATAAAAAAAAAAAAACAAATATTCGATAAAACTTGAAAACATGTGACAAACTCGATCGTTTCTTTACCTTCCTTGAACACTCTCGGCCCGTCTTGTCCAAGCGCTGCGTGTGACAAGGGGAGGAAGAAATGTGTTTCAGTCTATTTCAAACGATAAAATATATAATACACGTGATCTGACGTTAATAATTTATTACGTATCGAGAGATATTATACGCACAAAATTTCGCGGAATTAATCGCTCGGAAAGATCTCTGAAATTTCAATTTCACCCGTCGGTGTTTCGTCGATGAATCGTTTTGCAAAGTCAGCAAGTTTCACGAATACGAAGCGACGACCGAGCGCATCGGAGCCGAAAGAACCGCGCTTCGTATATATTGTTAAGGCACATCGTGAGCGTGAGTCGCGAAGAACAATATAAAGAAACACAGAAACTCGGCTGGAGCTCACCATTACATCGATCCGCGGAGCAGAACTCGACGATGACGTCCTTGCCTTGACAGGGACGACCGCCGTTGCTCGGCGGGGGATCGTTGCAGGATCTCCTCCGTATTCTCGAACAATCAGGACCGCATGCGGACCACGAGGACCAGGCTGACCATCTGCCGTCAACCGCTGCGTGCAAACGGGTTGAGGTTGAAAATCTCTGAATTAAATTCGCGATTATCTGATTTTACGAGACAGTGAGAAAGTAAAGAATAGATATAATACATCTGTGTGCCGCGCGCGTGATCGGGTGACACGCATAGAGCGCTTTAAACAACACTCGGCATGCTTCAATATGTAAGGCGTGGTTGTTAATTTGTAAGTATTTTTGTTGCGACACGCTGAACTATATTATTATTTCGAGCGTGTCGTGCGAGTGAGTCTTTGTGAACTTACCCGGGCAGGAAGGATTGCATTCTACCCTTTGTGTGGCTGGCCCTGGGCACGTTTGACCGCCGTTGATTGGAACGGGATTTGTACATGTTCTTGTCCTCTTTTGTACGCCTCTACCGCAACGAGCGCTGCACTCCGACCATCCGGACCAGGACGACCACCCGCCGTTCACTGAGAACGAATCGGAAAGAGAGAGAGAAAAAAAATATGATACACCGACGAAATTAAAACGGGAACAAATAACACCTTGTTACGCCCCGCGGCTCGAACGGAGCCAAGACGTGAGTGAGTTGCCACACCACGACGCAACACCAATTAAAAATAAGATACTCCGAAGTTTAATCACCGTGAAATCTGCAAGCACATCGACTTCGAATTTATTTCGTGACGCGAAACTATGTGAAGTGAACAGAAACGTTGATTACATAATTATTGTTTCAAAAATACAACGATGTACGAATAAAAACACTCGTGGCATGTAAAACAATGCAAAAATGTGTATGTAAATAATTATAAACAGAAGATAACACAAAGAAATTTAACTGTACTCGTGCGCAAGTTGCCGACGTCGTAAGTTATTTTTTAGCGTTTTTATCTGTTTCTTCGCTTCCTCAATTATCGAGCGTTCGCCGCATCCGCTGTGTGCAAACTATTTTCCAAAAAAAGAATATGTCTCACCGTAAACCGTGAGCACCGCCGGTTCGCTAACTCTTCTAGCGGCGAGATTCTCGGCGACGCAGGAGTAGTTTCCTTGATGCCTCAATTCGGCCTCCCCGAGAAGCAGATGCCCGTCGGTGGACTGCACGAAGCCGTCCGCGGTTGACACGTCGTTGGGATTCGCGTCGGAAGAGGCGGAAGCGGCGCCGGCGACCGATGCGGCTTTCTCGAGAGGCGAGCCGTTCCTCAACCAATAAACCTTGGGCTGTGGTACGCCCGGCGGCGGCGAGCATCGCAGTTCCGCGTTGCGACCGGCTTCCACCGACAGCGAGTACGGCGGCGACAGGAAGTTCTTCTTGAGATCTACATCGGCCGCGGCACCCACAGGCGGTTTTTAATATTCGTTCGGTAAGGGGAACGTGTGGCGCGAGAACATGGAAGAAAAAAACCGGGAAAGGAAGAGTGGCACTCAGCGATATTAGGACGCCCGCCGTGTTACAAACGTGAAAGAGCTTTCACGCCATCGGAAAGGCGGAAAGAGATTTGCGGAGCGAGTACCGCGGAAAATGTATAACGCCGGTCATTCGTTCAAACGCGGCTATCCGTCGCGGCATTATTTGCCGCGCCACGTCCGCGCTCAAAAAGCCAGGCTTTCATATCGCTCGTGAAGAGCATAAGCACCGGCCGAGGCCGCGTGCCATAGTATCCCCGACGCGGCTGTTACGTGCTTTAGAAACCGACGGGATTCTATGCCACGCGATATGTACGCCGCGGACTGATGGATGATACGTCCGGCATCACAAAGTCCGCGTTATGGGCCATCTACGGATGCAAAACCGAGTCAGACTCGTTCGGGGGGAAGGAGAGAGGGGGGAGAGGAGCACCTACGTTGTGCTTTCACGATTTTCGGGTTATTCCGTTCGCCGTGTTGTCACATGCAGAATGCAATTTTGATTAATTCTTTTCCTATAGTTTTTAATTTATATAAAACTAATACTCTTTTTTACTATATTCATTTACTTGCTTACGCGTGTAAAGAAACACGTCTGCAAAAATCCATTTGTTATAACAAAATCCCATTTTAAACATCAATTTTTTTTTTTTTTTAATCGGATACAATCTTTTTTAATTCTCGTGCACTTTACTTTTCCCATCGTCGTCTTTTCACATCCCCGCTGCGCATAATTTTAGAAAAGCATGAAATATGCAAACGTTAAACGGCGAGTGATTTAATGCGCGCTGTTATCAGGAAAAATTAATTGTCGGCACTTTATTTTAATCGAAAATAGAAACATGTAAGATCGTTATGCGCGGAGAAAAGCGCGCACCTCTACGACAGATCGTACACACATCGATTCTATCGACGTCGCGCATTCAATTTCGAAAGCACGTCTGCTTTCTGTTTGCACGCAAATACCGATTTAATTTTGCATCCTGTTTGCCGCGCGTGTTTGCGTGGCGTGGCGCGACTCGAAATGTCTAAATGAAAATTGCTCTTGCGCTGCACCTTTTACGAGGAGCGCGCACAATCCTCGATGCAATCGCATCGTTATTGGAATCTCGTACACGAAATACACCAAAATATACTTTTCGATATGGCTTATCGTAACGCGTGTGCACGCGACTTTATTTTAGTATTGATAACTGACCGGTGTTCTGCAATGAATAACAGAGACCGTCCCTCTTTGATAAAAAAAAAAAAAAAAAAAAAAAACGCCATTTCGAGGCTTACACGTCGTTCCGTTTGCGATAGAATATCGATTAGATTTTGTACTCGATTTGCGCATCACAGGTAACCTGATGAAAACCGAATCGCGTGCTCGCTCTGTCCCTTTAATTTGTTCCCTTTTTCAGCTCACGTTTACCGAGAGATGTACGAACGGGGGGGTGAACTTTATGTCGAGTGTCTTCAAAAGCTTTTAACGAGTTACGGTAATCACGTTAATGAAGTTACTAAATAACGGTGTAATGAAATGAACGAGACTGCTCATCTCGTAAAATGCGATTTGCGTGAAATGTTTTTGAGATTTTCTTTCACGCGCAAAATCACGCATATGTAAAAAGGGAATATTTCAATATTATAATAAAATAATGCAATTATCGGCAATTAGTGGCAATGATATGCGTTCTGAATTAGCGCGCGGATAACGAGAACGGTCTTTCGAAATGGCCGTTACGTGTTCGTTCAAAGGTTTCGTTCTTTCCCCTCGTATTAGCGCGAACGAAAGTGACGTAATCTCCTGAGTTAGAGCATCTCACGTATCGCGGAGACGAACGGCTTGGTCATTATCGTACAACGGGAGAAAGAAAATCCTTTCGTCGCGTCGGTAAACTGAACATTCAAAGAGAATCGAGGGAAGACAGAAAATAGCGAGGGATACGGAATAGCGGGGAGAGATAAAGACAGGAATAAATAAAGAGAAAAAAAAGAAAGAGAAAGAGAAATGGAGGGTTTTCTACTTACAGGCGACCTCAACCGTAGCGGGCTGCCCTCGAATTTGACCTGGTCCCGACCATGCCACGCACTCGCACTTGAATCTCTCCTTCCCGAAGTACTCATCGACCTCGTTTCTCGTCACGTTCAACTCGACCTCGACGACCCTCGTTCCGGTACGAGGGTCGACGAAATCCTGCTGCTGCGAACGCCCGGCTCGGTCACCATTGCAGAGAAAATACACCTGCGGAAAAGAACCGCGGCCGGGCATGCAGTTTCGCGTGCCGTGAAAGAAAGAAACAGCTTGTCTTCGTTAAATTGCAAGACTAAAGAAAAAGAGAGAGAGAGAGAGAGAGAGAGAAGAAAAAGCTGCGCACGAAACTCGAGTTAAGAATGAGTAGATAAAGGCGTTTTGCAAAAAACCTCTAACTAGTGTTACGGCAGAAAGTACTACCTTCGTGTACTCATGTAATGCGTATAACTTGTAATATGAGTAATTAGAAAATATACGTCGTACAAAGAGAAAATGTCTTCATAAAGAAACGTGCGTTACACAAAGAAGATACAAATCGTAGGAATGATTTATATAAGTACAACGCGCGTACCTGAAGAGCGTGAGCGGCGCGACAATGCAGCGTCGCCGGTTTTCCCTTGACGACAAACGTGTCGACTGGCTCTACCAAAAAAATCGGCAGGGAACCGCCAGCGATTAGATCGGTATCGCTGGCTATAGTCCCGGTCTCGTAGTCGCCGTAATCGTAGTCCTCGACGGGATAGCTCTCCTCGTCATCCTCCTCGGCATCGTCCTCCTCTTTCGTACCTGGCGAGAACACGCAGAGCACACGCTCACTCCTTTTGCGAGTAGAAAAAAAAAAAGTCGATAATTCCGAACGCAGTTCGTTTCGCTAATCCGATAGAATCCGTCAGCATAATCCGTCGCCAGTATCCATACGCGTCCCTAAATTTTTCATATCGCATCGATTGAATTAAATCGTTCCGGCCCGTACATCAACTCGCTCTTGACTCAGCCATCGAATGGATTTAAGCCGCGTCACCACGATAAAGAGAAACGGCTCGGTGCAGACGCGTTATCGGATTACTAATGGCGCATTACAGGATCCAATAACGATGTTATCGTGTTTCGTTCGACGACCGTCTTTTTCCCGAAAGTATCGCTTGTCGGAAGACCCGCTCGCGCGCGTCCTCGCATCATTGCGGTATATTTAGACGTCGTGTCGGATGCGATAGAACGGTAAAGCAGGCTTAACGATGCGTAACGGATTTTACCGCCGTGTATCAGCGCCGGCTATACGGGCTCTCGGGATCTTCTCGGACTTTACGCTTCGTGTTCGCCCGTCTCGCGCGCGCTCCTAAGTCTCTCTCTCGCGGGAACTTTATTACACCCCGAGCTTGAGTGCGCCTCTCTTGTTTGACTCGCCGCAGTAAAGTAAGCACCGGCGGGAACGATGATTACCCCCGCTGTCACGCTCATGAGAAAACATGTCACGATTCGCAACGAGGGGCTCTTGCGAAGGAACGCGAAGCGTAAATTTACGTCGCGATTCGGACGACGACTGTGTGCACGCCGCGGGCCGGAAACGAACGAAATGAATTTTCCCTCGCGCCGGAAAGCGCCGGCGAACTTCCGCGTTGCAATAATAGCTCTTGTTGATATTTAGATCGATTTTTTTTTTTTTGACGAACCAATTTGCTCGACACACTTGCCGAGATGCGTGTTAATAAATACGAATAGTACGTGTTGCAAAAAACGGTTTTTATTTTAAATAACAAATCATTGAATTTTGTAAGAACAAGGTTTTGCATATGTTATAAATTATTATAAATCAAATCTATTAACAGAGTGTGTGAAGAGAATGAGAAAAGGTAATAAAAAAGTGCTGTTTGATTTAGATTTACTCACTTTCGAGCGTACTGGCGAGGCGGAGAAGCGTTAAAAGAAGGATACTGATCCTCAGCTCCATCGTTACCTCACATTTCACTGAAACCAGCGTTTAACTCGATCCCACTCAGAAAAATCGGACACAAATTTCATGCTCTACGTTAACACATTTTTACGTGTTTGGCATCACACCCGAGAAAAAAAATTTTGCCATCATAACCGTTGATTATTGTTGTGTGATTATTTTCTTAATTGTTTACAAGTTTAATAAATATCTGCAACGTAGGGTCGTTTGTTACTTCCAGTGGATCGTGCATTAAAACTGATTGAACTCGTCTTTGATCGAACGATGAAAGCAACTCCAATCAATTGCTCGTCATATCCGAGATCCATGTCGTAAATTCAACAAAAGACTGTCGCGTTCACTTCGCGTCTAAGGTTTTTAATTTGCAAAAGAAGATTCGTGTCTCCCCTTAAAAAAGAAAAAAAACTGCGTCAGCGATAATTAGACGCTGCTCATGTCGCAAACTACATGACGAATCTGAACGAGGGTGCTCGCACTTGCATGGTTGCACTCGCGTTCGAGCGTGCGAAAGAGGGGGACACGTGACCGGCGTCGAGCCCCTCGCACGCGAGAACGAAAACGAAACGAGGTAAAACGAGGAGGCCGCTAAGGGTGGGTGGCTGCACGATGCTCGCGGGTCGGCACGCGGTGGACGACTGAACTTGCCGACGTGCGCGCACCTCTATATATACATATATATACGTCTCACTTCGATACCGACGCTCTTCTTCATCCCCTTGTCGTCGGGGGTGCTGCTGGCTGCTGCTGCTGCTGCTGCCAGTGGTGGCGGTATCTGCGGCGGCGGCGGCGGCGGCGGCGGCAGCGGCGACGGTGATGGTGGTGGGTTCTCTCGTGACGCCCGGAGGCTGCGCTTTCTTTCTGTTCTCCCACCGAACTGAGCGATGATGGACACAGATCACTCCGAATGTGTGTGTGGAGATCTCCCATCTATTCTTATATCTGTTTTTACAAAAAGAAGTCGTATCTCTCTCTTGATTTTATTCATAAAAATTCACGAATAACTTTACGTCGTTTTGAGGTAACATGTTTTGTAAAAAATATAAACGTATATTTTTTTATAAAAAGATTGACGTTGAAAAAGACATGTTTTTTTATGCTTTAATCTTTTCTATCGGATCAAGGGTATCAATAACATAATCGACGACATAACCGGAGTCGAGAGTGAAAGCAGAAAAGAATGTGATAAAGAGTCATTTGTCTTTTTTTTTTTAACGAAGATCCCATTTGTGTCTGCGACATCTCCTTCTCGGAATAAAGCCAAGGTACTTGCCGGCTCGTTGAGAAGCGCATTGTGCCTGGGACGTCGATACGCGTCCGTTCCTTGACGATTCAATATTCATCTACCCTCTTCATTCATAGCGCGTCGTAAACGCCGATGCCGTTAGCCTCCGGCTCATTGTTATTGCATCTCGTCTACCACGCTGAGGCGCTCTCGGTAAGGATCGAATGAATATCCGCGCGGTCGCGGAAGGGTCGCTGTACAAGAGAATCCTTGCGGGGAACATATGGGATTCCCTGCGGTCGATCGCGGCCGATCCGCTCGAACGTGAAATCGGATCCAACCGCGAGAACGAGTTCAGAGACGCGTCGTCGTGACGTCGGCCCTCTAACCTCACGACTTCGCATCGAGGGTGGTTTGTAACGGTAAACGAGCTTGCGAATCGCTTGGTTACACATCCGGGAAAAGCGATACCTTGTTGCTACTTGACGTAAATAGATCGAAGATTCCGCGCCGCACGTCAGAGAATCTTCGTGCACAAAGAAAATCTTACGGGTGGAAGTGTGCACAATTTGCGCAGAATTTTCTCAAATGATATTTCGATAACGGACATGTTCGTGTTCTATATTTAGACAACAGAGCGATATTCCTTGTCGTGAATCAAGCTTTTACGTATTCATCATCTCGAAGCGACATAGAGACTGTTACATCAAATGCACAAATATTTCTCCAGCGACCTGTCAGCATTCTTGGGTATCCAAGCGGCGCGTCTCGGCAAACATTCAAGTGCATTCGAGCGCGTCCGTGGAGTTCCGACTCGCTCTGTTTACCCTAAGTATCTCGCCGGCGGTCCACGTAGACAAGAAGATCCTGGCGCACTTGCCTGCGCGTCCGTAATTAATGATACCCCCCTCCCCCCCACAGAAAGGATTAGCGCGTACACAAAGTATACACATTAGTGTCCCGATTGGAGTTCGGCGTGCATCGCGATAACATTTAAGGCGTTATTCGCGGCGAGCATTAAGGTGGCGGCCGCAGCATTGAATGGCTTTAATCCGGATCTGGCGCGTCGATGTGTGCGCCCCGCCATTATGCATTATGCTCACATGTGTATCGGTTCAGCGCGACGTCGAAGCTTGACTTATGCCGATAGTCCCTCGCAGATGGTTATCTCTCGCCTTTACGAGAGACTCGATCCCTTCGAGCCCGAGCGTGGCGCGCTTAAGCGATTAAACGTAAACACACGTAGCAATTTGTCCCGAGCTTTATGTCGCCCTCGGGAAAAAGGAACCCACGCGCGCGACGAGTCCGGCGACGAGAAAACCTGTACGACGGGAAACTGAAGAGAAGAAGAAGAAGAAAGAAGCAAAATGTAGAACGGAAGAACAATGCACGGTTCGTTGTTTTATTACGCCCGCGAGCAAAACGCGAGTGAAAAAAGCCGAAAGAAAGTCTACGTTTCATTAACAAAGATCGCAGCGGCGTTGACATTTTACTGCATGGATTCCGTTTTTTTTTTTTTTTTTTTTTTTTTTTAACAACGACTGTAAATTGCGATTGTCATTTTGTGCTTGATAACGGCGACACATACAAAAGAATCTCTCTCTGCGTTAAAATCTTCGCTCGTGTAGAAACGAGTGAAGACGAATGAAAGTAGGTGAGTTTGTCATCACAGTCGAGAGATAGGTCGTCACAGACGTTACGTTCGCGTCGTATAAACGTGAAGATGTGTGTGCGAATATAAATTACCGTACTTTTGTTCTCTCTATGTGTATAGAGATAAATCGTCAGTGGAATTATTAACGTTCAACGACTGTCTCTTTGCTCGGTTTATCGGCAGTATTGTTTAAAAATTAAAAAGCGCGCGCAGTCCATTTCTAATTATTGAATTTAATATCAGACAAACGAAAGGGGATATATAACGAATTTGGTATTAATTTACATTTTAACACAAAGACAGAATTGTAATGTAGCTTTTGATAAAATATTTTCATAAAACAATTTGATAGTTTTTTACTAAGATAAAAGTAAGTTTGTCTTTCTCTGACGTATCATCAGCGGATCATCGATCAGCGGACGTTTAATTGATTGTTCTCCCGCGCGATTCAAGTGCGCAATGATACGAATGATTTGCGCATTATTATATTCATCCTTGTCTCTCTGTCGAAGAGCGCGCAGCGCGCGCCGGGGTGTCGGGCGACGTTTAGTGGAAATCACAATTCGCATAACGAGATAATCGGCGGGCGTAATTAAAAACAATGTCGCGTCACGTATGATTATGCGCGGCTTGCAAACCGGTGACAATGAATATTGCCCGATTGCAAACAGACACCGCGCGTAATTGGCTTCCGCGCTGCGGCCGTTAAACGCCGGACGATAAACACGCTTAACGCGTTTCGCCAAATATGTCGCGCGATGATCAATGCGATTGACAGAATGCGCGGATATAACGCGGCGACGCGTCCTGCGATTTAATCATTAAACCGACGGCGAGTGGGTGGCGTAATCCGCGGCATTTGCTCGTAAATGAACTTCGCGCTCCGACAAGGCGTGAAACGCTCGCGAAGTCACGCGCGTCGGCCAAATTGAAGGTGCGCCGAAGTGCCATTTCAGCAAAGCGGCCAAAGCGCGAATTGAATCCGCGCGCGCGGTTGCATTTACGGGGGAAAATGTATCTATCTTGTTTCCCTGAGAATGCGCGTAGGCGCTTCGCGTCACAAAGAGATACCAATTTATTTAAAACGCGTATATAAAACTTTTATTTCAAACGTATTCCCTCTTTGACGTACAAAGACGTGTATATATCGCGAGCTATACTTGGATATAACTTCACCGATGTAACACACGTAGATTCTCTGTTCTTTCATAGTCCGCAACGTATTTACGTCATTTCGAAAATGACCATTTTCTTCGCCGCTCTCTTGTTCATATGATTCCAGAGAAAGCATTGTCAATAAATATCGAACGCGCACGCGGGGTTGAGGAACTGTAGGTGAAACATAGTACCTCTCATCGATTGCATCCAAAGGGTTGTTTATAAGACTTACCTCTCGTATAGAACATTTTAATATTTTAGCGACCGTGCAGCTGTTGTTTTCGCAAACTCGAGAAAACCATGACTCTGTTTCTATCTCTCTCTCTATCTTTATCTCTATTTTTCTTTCCTATATTTCTACTGCAAGTGGTCGTGCGGTTGTGACGAAGAATAAGAAACTCAGCAATATATATCTCCGACTAGTGGCAATGTCGTCCGTTTTGGAAACTGGCGGCGTGCAATTGTTATTAATTCAACAGGCGTTAAGGGCCCACGGACAGACCGCGGAGCAAACCGGGATACCCATTAGCCATCGGTTATTCATGCCGAAAGTTCGCCGGACGCAAAACGCGCAGCGGCTGTCTGAATGGAACAACGCACGGTACATACATACGTACACGTGTCTTGCCATGTCAAAACGCACGATCAGGCAAATGGCAGCCGATAATTTTCGGGAAATTGAAGGGTATCGAGAAAGAAAGAGAGAGAGAGAGCAGATCAATTTTCGACAGAACGTTATACGTATAATTTTGGCGAAATTTGATGTACAATTAATTCAATATTAAGTAAATTCTCGTACATGTAAAGGAAAACGTTTGAAACTACTATTAAATGACGCAGTTGTGCAATTTGTTTCGTTCAGTTCATTCTTTTTTGTCTCTTTTTATCGTTCACTTTTAGTTTCGCAAAAAGTATCCGTTTTCGCGCAGAACAATTATTGACCACGGCGATGCTACAGACCAGTACACTTCGATCATCTGTTTTTTCGCCTGCCATGTTTTTTAACCAGTGCTCATATCGGATAAAAAAAAAAAAGTATATTTCGCAAAGTAGAAATAAACGTCATTCAAACTTTCACCATTTGCGGTGAACGCTCGTGGGGAATTTCCCCGAGAGACACAAGAGAGCGAATAAAGAAGTAGTCCGATCTATGATACCAACGCGCTCACTGGCGGTAGTTATAATGCATGAACGTCGAGGTAATAGAATACTCGAATATGCAAAGTGGCGACCAATGAAAGTAAGTTGCTCTAACCCCTTCGAGAGAATTTTACTTCCGTATTTTACATGCCGGCACGGAGCGTCCGCATAAGTTTATATACATATATATGTATCGTGTTGCATGCGTGTGTTTGTATATATGTACTTATCTCATTAAATTTTCATAGAAGAAAAAAAAATTCCGATAATGAATATACCTATAATACAATTTGAATTTCCACGTACGTGTAGAAACGCCATATGTGTTTTCTCTCTTTGTTGACATTTTATTATTTTAATTATTTATTTTTTACAAAATGAATACATAATCTTCTTTATAAATACATTATATAAAGCAGACTCTGCTTTAATCTTCTTAATTGCGT